TAATCAAAATACTTGCAACAACCATCAAGATTCATGTTCATTGTAGAGAAATATAAAGCCCTATTTGGTAGGAATTAAAATTTAGATTTTAATTTAAGTCAAAATCAACAATTAATTTTAACAGCATATTTTATGGGTTCCCAATTTTTCAACCACACATCTCGTCAATTTCTATCAAAATCTATTAAAAATATGATTTTAATCTCACTCAAATAGGGGCTAAGTTTACTTATTTAATTATTTTAATAATTATTGCTTTTACTCTTTCTTTAATTGTCTTTATTTATAAACAAATGATTTTTAATTTAAATTATACAAAACTCTCAACCCCGATTATGAGTCCATCGAGAAAAATTTATCTATTAGAGAGCATCCAGTCCGCAGAAGGGAGAGCAAATTAAATACAACTCAACATTCATAAAAGAGTGCTACAAATTATTAAAAATTGATATATTTTCGACAATTTATCAAATTAAAAATGATCATTTTGTTAATCCAATACAGAAAATTGTCCCAAGTGCCACAGCAATTTTACACTCATAATCCCCAATTCAGAGGTTCAAAACTTAAATAGAATACAACGTAAGAAAAATATAATGAAAATGCATATTTAACCGCTAGCAAACTAATCCAATTCGTTCTGGAATTCGCTCTCCGGTTTTTACTTCCTCTTTACCCTTACTCCAGGAGGTGTGACTTTTCCCTTCACATCCCTTTGCGACGACAAATTTGCTTGTTTGGTCTTCATTTTGAGTGACTTAACCAACGAAGATATGTCCTTTCCTTTTTCTGGATTCGATCCGTCAGGTTGCAAGTCCTTATCTTTGAGCATTTCCAATTTGTTAAAAGACGGAAACTGCCCTGAAATTTCTGAGCGTAGTGTTCCAGTAGCATTTTCCTGATCACCCTTATTTTTCTGTGCCACTTGCCGAGCATAAACTGCACTCCTGTCATACAGCACCAAAATTTAAGCGTGTTAAGAATTGTGCATAGCAAAAGCTTCAATTATAAGTAAATAGTTGCGTTTTAAGAAATCAGAACAAGGATGAAGAGCTAATGATACGATAGGAGCACTGGCCAGTAGGGGGAGGGAAGGAGGCGGGGTTTGATAGAAAACCTTAATTGACATATATGGTTACATGGATTAGACACATCTGATAGCACTAACGAAAATAAAAAAACTAAAATTTTGTCATTGTGCTGTCCCTGTACCAAACATGCACTATAAAAAGTAAAAACCAGGAACTTCCATTGTAACCTTACTGAACAAACTTCAATGAATGCAAATAAGCAAAAGATGTAGTGACAAACTAACAATGTATATACCTTTTGAATTGAGGATCCGTTGGATCCAGAGCAAAAAGTGGTGAGGTGAAGAGAGATGAAAATCGTGGATCATCATAGTCAACATCAGGTATTTTGCCCTCGTCAGGAATTTCCTTTCCCTTTTTCCCCTTGCGCTTCTTAGGTTTCAAGTTATAGCCTTTCAAACTGTTATCCATTCCCGTGTCATCAGCAAGTAATAGCTCAAGCTCAGCTCGACTAGCTTCAGCTTCTTGGACTGTTTCTTGATTAGGTTTGTCTCTCTTGGTACCTCGAACCTGAGTTTCCTCTTCAACAAAAAAGTCATCCGGTTGTTCAGCATGTTCATGCTCAGTATCACTGCTATCTTCATCCGATGAATTCCTGGACCTATTTTTCCGAGCCTTCTTTTTCTCTCTTCTCATTCTGAGATATGACTCCCACACAGTTTCTGATTTTTTATCCTTTTCTAAAATGCGTTTGCTTATATCTTCTAAGCCGGTATTGAAAGTGACCTCCATGTCTTGGGCATTATCCTCATCATTGTCATCTGAGCCACCATCCCCAGACTGGAGAAGAACACGGTACATATCTTGCTTTCTGCGTCTTTTGACGGATATATCTTCCGCGTCATTATCATCAGCATTGTCATCTGCATCACTCTCATCGGTTGCCAAAAACTCCTTTAGCTCCAATTCGTCAAGCTGGGAAAGAATAAATGAAATTGCCATTGGGACAAAGACATGATTGGAGGAAAGGCTTTTATGTAACTAGAGAGCCCATACTCTTTTTCAAGAATGTACACCAGAAAATAAGGAAGCACATGCTCTAGAGAATCCAATGATCTTGAAAGATAGATATAATTATCAACCAATACTTGACTCCTAGATCTTAAATGTTTCCAGTTTGAAAAAGAATTTCTTCCCAACCTCTTTGTCATAGAACGAAACAATAAACAAGAGATGCGTATGAAAAATGTGTTTCTGCACAACCCACCTACACGTGCATTAATAAACAAACAAAATAAACCTGTTCAGCATTGATTTTTCTCTTCAAGGTCTTTGAGCGCTGTGGTTCATCTTCATCCCATGTGAGCTGAATGTTACTGTGCTGCAGTGCTCGAGTTTGAAAATCCAAACCTTCATAGTCTGTTGGTGCCTACAGCAGAGAATTAAGAAATTTAAACAGATAAATTCAGAGAGAAATATATTAACGGAACAGATTTATTATATTTCTTTAATATACAAGTATATTATAGGCATTCTTCGGAAGTATCCCAAGACGGAGATAGGAAAAAGGCAATAGTTAACCACAAAAAAGCAAAACTACAGAAATAGTTGCCAGATTGTCTTTAGCATTAACTGTAAACCATAATAAACATATGTTCCATTTGATGATCAAAAGAAATAATTTACCTCAGTTGCCACATCCCGTGGCTGATGCTTAAACTCCATGGTGTCAGGAATAAATCTCAAATCCAATTTATTTGATGATCTTTCAAACTCAACTCCATCACAGGTTTTGTATAGGTAATCTGCTGTAGCACTTGAATCACATTCCACCACAGCATAGTAATACCTGCATAAAGAACGTATAGAAATAGGAAAAATTCAAAAGATTTCACATGCAAAATTGAAAATCCAAGCTGAAAATGAGTATTAGTTTGGGAAAAATATAAAACTGCGGAAGAGATTAAATGTAATGCTTAATCCTATAACATTTTAATCAATGTATTTCGTATAATATTGTGCAGTGATGCATCTCATGTAGTGTCCGCATCCGGTGTCCATATCAGTAATTCGTAGTCACCCATGCACATACCATTAAATAAAGCGTGAGCTTTCGACATGGAGTTTAATTGACAAATATGAAGGAAAGTGGTGGTGCAAATATTCATATACTAATCATGGCTCATGTTATCCATGAAAGTGCAATGAAGACTACTATTAACACCATTGAATTTCAACGTGTTCAAAAAATAAAGAAATACTTGAATAAGACAATAATAGAGAATCCACAGCTTAATGATTCTGCATACATAACAAATAGGTTTTCACCTTAGCCTACTTAGTTCATAGGCACGCAGTTTTTTGTTGTCAAACTCATCATCTTGATCATCCTCCTCACCGTCATCAAATAGCCCAACAGGACCATGGACAGCCTCCTCTTCCATGCGCTTGAGTCCAAATTCAGATGGATAGACAGCCACTGACATAATTTGACCCCCTTTAGGAAGAAACGAACTTAGCAATACGTACAAGTCAACGGCCTACAGATTTCAATCCAATTCTCAGCAAATAGATCCAGTAGAAAGGAACACCTAAAACAACGGCAATTAATAGTTCACTCAAATTCTAAGAAGTATATTTATATCAGTGTTTCCAAATTGACGTGTCATTTAGTTAGCCTCCGTTTCGCAAAACGAATTTATGACTTATAAATACAATCAAAGTCAAACGCTAATTTCAAACACACATTCATTACTACTAATTATTATCCACACATTTTGTGGGACCCACTACTATTGATCTTTGTAAACCATTTATAAATTTGCCAAATGGAGGGTTAATAACATGTAAGGACACTCAAATACTATGAATTTATGTATGAGGTCATCATTCTAAAAGTTCTGAACAACTATAAACAATGCATTCAATCCAAACACTAGTGTCAAGATAAAAATCCAGACTTCTTTTGGAGAAAGATCTCACCTTACGCAACTGAAATAAATAATGATAGCATACAAAAATTAAAACGAGGAAAGTTTCAACTACTCACCCTCACTTGATTCCAGTCCAAATTAACAACTGCAAGTCTGCGGGTTTCATTATCGATTTCTGGTATGTTGTCCTCCTACAGATTCAGAAAAGGAGACATCAAATTTCAGGTGAATGTAGTTCCCAAAATTTGCAGCAAAAACAAAAAGAAATTGAGCTCAAATCATTACCTGATGCATAAAGGCGTCATCCTCCTCCTCCAAATAAGCTTGATCGCCTTCATCTGAATCTGTAGTGCTAGTCGATGATGATTCATCACCGTCATGGCTATCATCCTCCTCAGATTCACTTGATTCTTCCAATTCACTTGTCAGTAGTGATTTGCTTTTCCTCAATTTCTCACCCTCACCCTCACTCTCACTCTCACTTTCACTTGTCAATAGTGATTTTCTTTTCTTCAAGTCCTCACCCTCACCCTCGCCCTCACTCTCACTCTCACTCTCATTTTCATTTTCACTCTCATTCTTCCGACTTTCACTTTCTTCTTCTTCAGTTGCAACTTTCTTCAACCCATGCCCTTTTTCTACTTGGTTTTCTTTGTCTTCTAGATGATAGTAGTGTTTGAGAGGGTTTTGAGAGTGGGAGTTCTTTCTAAGTTTACCCCTCTTGTCTATAGGAGCCTTGGAGGATGCAAAGTTTTTGTCAGTGAACATGCGGTCAAATCGAGAGTCAATAACCACTTTAGAGTTTCGCTTTGGAGCCTCACGAAATCGAGGGTCAAAGTGTACAGATGAGAATCTAGCATCCGTGATGATTTTGCCACCTTCATTCTGGGTACGGTCGTTTCCTCCACCCTTGCAGCCTTGATCGCCAGTTTTGTTCTTCTTCTTTTTCTTGTTTTCAGTTCCCATGGATGCCTACAGCATAAAGCAGCACAAGTATCAATGCCATGCTATTATCTTGGAAATAAAGCTACCCAAATCGGTTCAGTCTAATTTCCATCGAAACTAGACCAAACCAGTTTCAAATCAGATTTTAAAAGTTGGAACTGGTGGTTCCTTATGCACGGGAGGAACCAAACCCAGTCCAAGCAAGGTAACACCAATAGTATAAAATTCATAGCTTGTTAATTAATCAGTAATCTATTATAGAAGGACAATTGATCAATTATTTGATTGAATTACTCAATTATCAATAAAAAATCCCAATCAAGAGAAAAAAATAAACATACAGATCATGATGAATAACATGGAAAGACAGGATATTAACATGATTTACAGACAGAGGCGGACCAAAATTATGGTTGAGAGGGGGCGAGACAGAATGGAAGCTGACTTCAAAAAATGGAAGTTGGTAATTCAGGAAATAGTAAAATTTCTAAAAGCTGAGACAGCTATGAACATCAGGCCTTTGAGATATAGTGTTGTATTGGACCTTCAACCAAATAGTCTCCCACGTGTGGATTCACAAAGAAAGCCTAAACTAAGATATGCATTGTTATGCAGCTATTATCCTAATGAGGTTTGTATTGTTTGTTGCTTATTATTATTAAAACTGAAAGCAGTAATAAAGATCTGAGTATTTAATTTATGGTTCAATGGTCTAGGCTAGCTCTTTTATATAGAGAAGAACCAATTCACCAAAAAAGGACTTGTTTCAGTATTCCTTGAGTTTTTATAATTTCTTAAAATCAAATAGAAAGAAACAGAGGCTAAACAAAAGCAGGGGCCAATAAAATTTTTGATCTGATTTTCTCACTCTCCAATCCTACAAGAAATGGAAAAACTTGTCAAGGAATTGCAATCCCCTGAAACGGTTAATGAAGATTATTCACACAATCATGAAAGCAACACTAACCTATTGAAAAACAATAAATTGAAGCAAGTTTGGCTCTCGTCATAAGAAGGAGAAGTTTTCAAAATCAAGTATGGGATAATCAAATTCAACCATCATCTCCTCAATAATGCAATAGACAAAATTTCAGTCCTATCAAACATTAAACTATAAAATGAACTCTTGAAGTTTACAAAGTACAAATTCAATCCTGAAGTAGAAATTAGAACCATTATCAACACAAACAGAAAAAATAATTATATACTAAATGAATAAACAGTGAATATAATCTGGAATCCAAAATTCCATTATTGAACAAACTATTCAAATGTTGGAAGAAGAAAGTGGCAAAGAAATCTGTGTATAATATACAAATCCACTTTACAACAAAATGAAAGAAAAGAAAGCAAACCCAGTTACCCAGACGTGAGAGAACGCAGCTTCAAGAACTATGCGGTGCCTATTTTGAGTTTGCACTTCGCAGGGTTTGAGAATCGCTTCGCGGGGCTTGAGAGGCGGGGATGGGCTGGGAGTCTGGGAAGGGAAGCGAGGGTTAAAAGATTTTGTTGGGCTTGGGTTGGGCTACTATTAATCTATGATTTTATGGGCTTTTTCACTTTACACTCAAAACTTAACTTATATGATTCAAAATGTACTTTCAAAATTTAACTTGTATGATTCAATTTTTTTGTGATGATGAAATACTACAAATAAACAATATTTTTATACTACTTTTGGTACATAAGAATTAATTACTAATACATAAATTTAAACACCCATTAGAATTTTTAAATACACGAATAAAAATAAATTTATCTATAATAACTTTAGATTCTTGTAGATCAAGATTCATTAAATCTAGATTAATGTAAATGTTAATTGATTGTGAATTAATATCATGAAATTCATACACGACGAGGACGTTGTAATATTTATTACATATTGAAAAAAGAAAAATAAGGTATTATTGAAATAATTGAATTGTGGTATGGTTAAAATCATCAAAAAATGATTTTTACTATGTGATATTTAATATATTATAGATGTAATTTAAAATGAATTTGTCAAAAAATGAGTTTTAAAGAATTCGTACCAAACATATATGCTAAATATAATTGTACATCATAATAAACAAAATTTTAATAAATACGTAGAGTGACACCACGTGTAATGGCTTGATATACCCCTTGGCTACAAAATCTCTCACAAGACTTCATCTTGGCAGATAAAATCACAATTTAATGGCATGATCTTCCAAACTTGAGGATGTGAAGTCAATTTCACAGTTACCACGAGAAGTCCGGAATTTGTTTAGGATAATCTCTATGATAGTATATTTTTGTCTTAGCCGACATCATTATGACACAATTATATTATCTAGTAGTCAGCTACCACGGTCTTTTTCTGAATTTTCAGTTCCGCTTCGAGGCTGCTGCAAATCCATTTGATGTGCATAGACATAACACGGAGATTGATTAGGTTGCGCAAAATCACGTCGCTAACTTGACAATGCATTCCACCTTGTCCTTCATTTAAAAAATTCTAGAGGAACAGAAGTTCCACACATAGCACATTCAAAATCGACAAATGTGACATCAAACATTATCTCTCATTTAATCACATCAAGCATTATCTCTCATCTAATCGAAATACAATTTTTCACATATAACATAAGGGTAATCACGTTGTTAATTCACTTGTCATTGCGGGCTGGGAACAATGTTGCTTGCTACCAAGATTATGTCCCCTAAACCTTCCTCGACCACCAAGCACTTTGGTGCAAATCGAATGACATAGTATTCCTAGTGTGAGATTTTTAGTATACTTTTGCTATTTTACTTTTGTACGGAAAGTAGTACCTCATCATTCATTGTTTTGCTTTACGTTTGTTGCTCTTTTGGAGCTTAGGTTTAAGCCTCTGCCGTGTATTCTAGTCAAGTTTCAGATATCTTATTCCTAATCCCCACCCCCATCATCATTTTTTTTTTAATTTATTGAGCCTAAAAATCCATTGAGGATGTGTTGATAATTTTCTGGAAAAAAAATGTAGCAGGAAAACCCGCCAAAACTACCTGCACGTGAAGCTATATACCCTATGAATGAAGGAATGTTTCATTTGAAAGAACTCCTTAGCCCCCTATTTGGGCTCATTCTCCAAAAATATATATATATTTTTATTTTTGATCACACATTTTTTAATAAAATAATAATACACGTAAATTCAGTTTTTTTTTTTTTTAACCACACATTCTACAAAATATTACTATTAAAAAATGAATTTTTTTTTTCCCAAAATGCATTTTTAATAGAGCCCAAACAATCAATCAACAGTTTATTAGTAGCACAAAATAGTTCAAAGTCCAAACAAAACTCTAAATAAAATGCTGCTATCCCATTTGGGAACTCTAATGGCATGTTTGGTAGGTGAAATGGATAGTACTAACAGTATTAAATAATAGGTGTCTGTTTGTCAACCATTATTGAATGAATAGTATTTTTTGGAAAATATGCGGTTGAAAGTGAAAGAAATTTTATTAGTTTATGTGTAGAATATTTTATTATTTGAATGTATGGTAGAGATTGATTACCGTAGAAAACAATTTTTTGAAAAATGGTAGGCAAACAGGGGCTAATAAAAATGTTGAATCTTGGCTATTACACTATCCATTTGAGTATTATATCCTACGTGCACTAAAGCCTTGAACATCAAACTCACTATATTAGTTTTGCATGAAGGATGTCTTACCACCGAGTAAAAAAATATGTGCGAAGAGAACCAACCACCCATCCTAATTGAATAGTAGCATGTATCCAAGCATATCTACTCAATATATATGAAAAAGAGTGGAGGAAAGATTAAATCAAAGCGGGTATACTCGAGCTTAAAATGACAAAAAAGACAGATGTTGTACCCATGGTAGTTGACATGTCATGGATGCAAGATATGGCAATTGCACTAGATCCCATTTTCTTGAACTGAAAATGAAAAAAGCCATCAGTATCACGGGCTGGATTGAAAAACACAAGTGTGACGTTGCTCGACTTACCAAAAGTTGATCCAAGAAACGAAAATATGCAAGCATGCTGATCATCACTAGAACTTGAATGCCCCGACACAAATTATCAGTTGATTTAAGCTAAACGAGCACCTTACTCACAAATTTATATAGTCAAAAGGAAAAAGGGGAAACTGTGTCAACACAGTAAACAGATACAAGTTTATTTTCATTCTAATAGTTTAAACTTTTAGATGGGTTTAATATAGCATGAGAGTACGCAAAAGCTTGGCTTCAGGTCTCACTGCCACTTGTTTATGAAAATTGTGCACGCATGGAGTTTTTGATAACGAAATGAATATGGCCTCTATGAGAGGTGCATGTGAAGACAGTCTAAATAATTAAGACTGTCCCCTCTCCAACAATTTAATCTTTTCGATGAGATTATTTAATAAACACTTCTTGTAAAGTAGCAGGAAAAAACACAATTATTTACTTGCCTGAATCGAGCTATTGCAACAGATTAAACACAATTTAATCTTTTATTTCCTTTTATGCTAAACCATTTAATAGCTTATTCCTGGTGAGCCAGGGCAAGTTCGCCATTACAGTAGCATTCCATCTTTAGGGCGTCCATGCCCTCCCCAAGTTCTACCAAACAGATCCTGCACACAGCTTCTTCTTGAGGGATATCTTCACCATAATCAGCCTCATCTGAACCAAAAGACTAATGATAAGATATAGGTTGCTTATCAGAAGACTGAAATATGTATTAAAACTTTCAGCCAATAACCTTTAATCATTATAGAATTAAATAGATTTTGCTCTCCGCACTTGTCTGTAACTGAATTTTTGTTAATATTTTTGTTATATGCACATTAGAAACTCATGGAAATAGCCTAAAAATCCTAACTTTGTTTCCCAGGGAAATAATATTAGCGTATACCATTGTCCTTGGCAGATTTGATCAAGACAGAAACTGCGAATCTTTAGAAATTTGAAACTAAGTAAAATCCTAAAACAGTTGAGAAAAAAAATCCCTTTAGCTGTAAGATCCAAGCAATCAGGGCAAAAATCTGATTAGAAACCAAAAAAATCCTTACCTGTTACCTGTATCAATAGTCCATCTGTTTTATGCTTCTATCTTTATTTAACGCAGGGACTGAGCGTGAATAGTGTATTGGGAATTGGGTCAGACCTTTCTGCACAATGATGTTTCCTTCATGATCTAGGTAGTGAGGAGAAACTGATTTTGACCAATGAAGTTACCCAAAAACAGTTGTAGTTTGAGAAACATATCGTAGATTATATTTGAAGAAAAATCATATATTCATGTGCAATGGACAAAATATGAGCTCGACTTTATGTAAGAAACTTAAATGAGACCAATGAAGGTACCCAAAAACAGTTGTAGTTTGAGAAACATATCGTAGATTATATTTGAAGAAAAATCATATATTCATGTGCAATGGACAAAATATGAGCGCGACTTTATGTAAGAAACTTAAATGAACAAAAATACATATTTCCGGCAAATATAAAACTTGCACTACCAGATAAATTGCAATTGAGTTGGACGAGACTGATTCAACTTTAATTTGAGTAACTCTTTTCTTCTGCAAGTGCTGTTCATAGAATGATATTATCATGAAGGTGAGATGCCACGTGATGGAAGTCTTTCCGGAAATTAGTCACTGGAAATTCACACGGTGTTTGCACGAATATAGAGTACAGGTAATGGAGAAAAATACACTCTTTTGGGAGTTTGGATTGGTGAAGTGGGCATACTGATTATCACAGAATCTTCTGCAGATCCCTCAATTGCTGCCTCGGGTATCTTTCTAATTAGGCTTTGCTTTCCCAGGTTGCTGACCGGCTGAACATTCATCGACTATTTCACTTGATTATCCAATCTAGATATACGTAATAGATCAGATGACTAAACTTTTTAATTAGCTTCTAAGCATAATAAAAAAAAAATCACAACCATATCAAATTCAAAGGTAGCCACCAGATGAACATGCTATTTCACATGTGCTCATTATTACCGATAAATTTTTGCATCAATAGTTCTTGCTAAAGTATTGTTCACAAATATATCTACTCATATTTGTGCTCATAGCAATGTCAAAGCAAATATTTAAGAAAACTACAAAATAAAAAAAAAACATTTTTTTTCTTGGATGAGGTAGACGAATCATTAGGATCTATATTTAATTTTTCCTTTACTTTTTCTCTATCATTAGGATTGATGTATTCATGATGATAAGAGATAACTAATCATTAAGCTCTCTAGTATCAAAAGCTACATTATATAAATCCAATGGTAAATAATAAAAGAGAGACATCATTATTTTTCATGAGCTTATTACTTCTGGTATTTAATCCAACGATTTAGCTTCAACAGTTTTGTCTAAGGCACAAGCAAGGCTATTTCGTTTTTATTTCAAGTTCCACTCAAAAGAATAAAAAAGTTCATCTTCTTCCACCCCACCCCTCCCCATCGCACCACACCTACACCAAGTGAATATAATCTACCACCTAAATATTATCTTTAGAGTATTTGGGGTTATATATTCTCGTTGTCCTATCAAATTGTTCCAACTGAAGAAAATTAGATATCAATTCTTCTCATGCATTTAACAAAAGTATTGAAATAGAACTGTTGCGGAATGATTTTACCTGAAACTGTCAATCTGAGAAGGTTGACCCCAAAGCCGAGCCAGAACTTCACGGTCTACTACGTACTCATTTTTCCAATTACAAGATAGATGGAAACTCGGTTAGTTAACAAGCTCTCGTAGCTCAAAGACAATTATATGGTCTTGAAAATGAATTTGTGTGCTGCACATGTAGAACCCAACATGCATTCATGTACCTCGTGTATGACTTCATGTTGATGGAAAACGTTATATACTGAGAAAAAAATGTATTTTTTCAATTTCTAAAATGAATGATGTGCTGAATTGTCTAAGCACCACAATTTACAAGAAGCCTATAAGAAATGTACATTTGCAGAAGAGCAATATTCACCAAAAGCTACTCTCTCTCTTTTTTTCATTTTTCTTTTTTGAGCAATATTATCCCCGAAGATGTAAAAATCCAATTTAACGCTACAATATCAATCCATCCTTTACTAATTGATCCAACAACAGCACCAATTCCGATATAGTCGCCCGTTCTTTGGGATCTTCCTTCAAAGCGAGCTCTGCAATATCAGCGAGTTTTAAAAGGGGTTCAACATTTCGAGGCAGAACAATGTATCGATCAATTATGGCAGCTGCCCTTCCCTGTCTAATAAGAGGGACTGCCCAGTCTACTACGTTTTGAGGTGTGCAGTCCGCATCATAAGCTTTTCTTCCGCTAAGGATCTCGAGTAGCACGATTCCGAAGTTGTAAACATCAGTACTCATGTCTGCATTAAGACCCCTCTCCTGTGGAGTCAGAAGCCCAAAATCTGCAATTCGTGCTCCCCAATCAGCATCCAAAAGAACTTTCGAACTCCTAACATCTCGATGC